AAACCCACTACAATCCTGATCACAACCAGGCCACTACTGACCGGGCGTCACACACACACTCACACACTCAAGGGTACAACTGGATGCCCCCTGTGTAGAGGTCAAGTATGCTTGAGTCCTCCCTATGTACGCCATCCGTATGTTATTGGAGGAGAGAGAGGGAAAGAGGCGACGAGAAACACTGAAAGAGGTATAAATCCATTCCCACAATGGAGTCAGGTGGTTTGTATGTGTTTATTCCTGCTGATGTGTTGATTAACTGCCCACGAACACACACACCCTCTATCCCTCTGTGTGTGTGTGTGTGTGTGTGTTCTCCAGGTGATAGCTTTGATTAAGTGGCCTGCTCACCCGGCCCCTGATTAGGACTAATGCTGGGCTGTATTTCACTGGACACAGCTACCGAGTACACAAAATTATTCCTCGGAGCGCGGGTCCGTGTACGTGTGTGTGTGTCAATCCAATGATATATAGTGCACAACAACTACATTCACGAATAATGGACAGACTGTAAATGCTACTCATCGAGCTCTTCAGAAGAATATGTTTGCATGATTCTCTTGCTGTGTCCTGCTGTCTTTGTTGGAGTATGCATATTTAAAAAGCACATGAGTAAAGGTCATTGATTGGTGAGAGTGTGTATGTGTTTATATGTGTGTGTGTGGAGATGCTTATTAATACACTTATGGCTAACGAGGATGCACTATATATATATATATATATATGTGTGTGTGTGTCCGTACTGCGCCCTTGGAGAAACTGAACACCACTCAATGTTGCTAATGAGCTTTGGGACTTCATCAGCATTAATACTACATTAGTCTCAACACACACACACACACACACACACACACACACACACACACACACACACACACACACACACACACATACACATACACATACACACACACACACACACACACACACACACACACACACACACACACACACACACACACACACACACACACACACACACACACACACACACACACACACACACACACACACACTGGTGTGAATGTACACTTGTGCAAATCCATAAAGAAGCAAACAGTTAATAGGATTAAAATAAACTCAAATGTTATCACTGCACATTTGGATTTGTGTGGATTAATCCAAAACAGGTTTAATTCCCAAATGTATCAATTTAAACAGAGCATTTTAACCTTAAGTACAACAGCAGGTGACTGCATCCTCAGAAAAGATGCTACGCTGTCATAAATAAGCCTTTTTCTGCTGCCAGATGATTTGAGTAATGCTCTATGATTACCTTTAATCATTTTTCTAAGAGCAGGAGTTCAGATGCTCTTAGTCTCATTGTATTACTGCAACCCCTAAACATAAGACGTCACTGAGGAGGCTGCTTTGGTCCCCGTCACGTTGTCAAACTGAGCCGGGGACATCTACGTGAGCTTAATATACGTAAATAGCCACACAGATAGCCCATTAACTCCAGAAGCATTCTGCCATCAGCCTGCTGCATTCAGGACCCTGTGGCTAGCTCATATAGTGCAATCTAATTCTACTACCACAGGGAGAGAGAATTGTATTGTGACAGAGAGCAGGAGGGAGAGGGAGAAGAAGAGGAGAGAGAGGGCTACGGAGAAGGAGAGAGGTAGCTTAATGCAATAAAGCATGTAGTATTGACATCTTTCTCGTGTCTATTGATTCCCCATTATGTTGCTAACAAACCCAGGTTGACATTTTGTCATTTGCAATCATGTTAACACTGCGACTTGCACGCTCCCCTCCACAAGCCGATCTATACCTACACACACTAGTTTGCACGTGTGCTCATGCATGTGCCCACACACACACACTCTTACGCACTCTCTCTTGCTCAGACATACACAGAGCAAATGGGTCGGCACATGCACAGTCTAACATCAGCCATCGAAGACATGTGCCAGCGCCTCATGAATATGTAAACATTTCTCGAAAGTAACCAGAAAGCACAGACACAGAGCTGAAGACGTTGAGATTAATGGATTAAAAGTGAACATTTTGTTGGATTGAAAACATTAGATTGGACCTGTGACCCTGAAAGGTTCTGAGAATTGTAAACAACAGTAACTGTTATTCTGACTGAAATTCAGAGACAGAAATTAAGCGGGCTAAAATCTGAGTGGTGTGTGTGGGGGAGTTAGGCAGTATATGATAGGAGATGGTGGTTAATGGTGTGTGACATGAGGTGCATAGCTGAGATGAAGTGAATCTAGGTGTTTGTGTAAGTGTATGTGAGAGAAAGAGAGAAAAAAAGTAGTCTCCAGACCCCTTGATGTCCCATCATATCAAATCATATCATATCAAGCCCTGCACTGTGTGGGAAACCTGCGGTTTCTCCTCTATGTCCCATTAAACTTTCATACACCAGTTAATGCTGATGGCTTCACAAACCACTTTACTACACAAACACACACACACACACACACACACACACACACACACACACACACACACACACCACACACACACACACACACACACACACACACACACACACACACACACACACACACACACACACACACACACACACACACACACACACACACACACACACACGTAGTTCACACAGGAGTGACCTGGGCCTTCACAGACACGATACCATTAAAAATAGAACAAAACCTGGATGCGTTACAGCGGCTCACTATCCAGGTGGAAAACGGTCTAACATGCTTGTTTTATGCTATATGATGCTTCGCCTGTTTCATGACGATGTCTGTGTGTGAGCCCCCACAGGGGTTGTGCATGAGTGCTCGAGGCCTGTTGTAACATGAAAGAAATGAAAACACAGGGGGCAAAGAAGGGTCAGGTGGGGCTAAATCAAACCCTCCTGCTGCGACCTCTGACCCCGTACAAAGCTCCGACTCACAGGAAGTCAAGGAGCGACCACCAGTCAAAGACTCAAGTTAACTGCGTTCCCCTGAAAACGTGTGTGTGTGTGTGTGTGTTAGACTGATTATAACTCAAGGGCACAAGGCCTAAACTGGACAAAAAGTTCCTGATGACACGTCTGTGGTGTCAACTCTTTCTTCAGAGTAAAAACATCCATTTGTTGTCGTCCCCTTGGTATTTGCCACTGCATAATTCCTAAAGAAACAACAGGACAGTCCTATTTCAGTCCTGAGATGCTGAACTGACCCTGGACCCGTTTAGCGACAAACTCCTTGAAAAGGACAGCACCTTGTACTGTGTTATCAGAGTGGAACAAAATCAGCATAGCATTGTGAATCACTGTTATCCCAGCATCTCAGGGCTCCAGCAGCCTGTGTACACATCCTATCAGTTTGCCTGCTTATTCAGATGCTGGCCCTGGCCCGGGACGCTGCAACATAATGGCTCATCCGTGGTTTACTCTCACCTCTCCAGCTCAAACTGGGTTTTTCTCTCCCTCCTCGTTTTTCACTCTGTCATCTACTCTTACTTCCACCCACTTCTCCCTCTCTCCCGCTCTCTCTTTCCACATTTTTTTTATCTCATTCTGACATTCGCCATTTTTCAACGTGCGGAGCACTAAAACTCCTCCTCCTCGGTCCCCTAGTCCTCCCCTCAACCCCTCTCCCCTCTTTTCTGTGTGTATATCTCTGGAGATATGGAAGGTAACAGGTCCCTCTCATCCCTCTACCCTCTCTTCCTCTCCCCCTGTATCACCTATCACTTCATTGTCACATGCTGTGCACCTGTGACTGAGTATGTGGGGTAAAGGGAAGCTGGCATCTCTGAAATCAAATTGAACTGATCTGGAAATAGAGAGGGGGGGAGGTCACTAGAGGGGATGCCTGGCCCTTTAAGAGTCCATCGAATAAGGTGCACACATTTACGCACTGCAAGTTACTGTATGTATATGCATTAGTGAATAATCCAATTGACCTCAGGGCATTTTCCCTCATACTTTGCAGCCCTTTGCACAAACAGGACATAAAACACATTAGAGGCATCCTTCCCTCTCCAAAGATGTAGTGGGGGGGACAGGGCTGAGCAGCTGTTGCATGTCTGACAAACAGTCGAAGCTGGAGTGAGCTGGAGCTCTCTCACAGCTACAGTCAGTGACACACTGAAGCCAGCCTGGCTGCTCCCACCATGCGTCTTTTATTCCGCTCCAGCGCAGATGAAACGCAGACGGCGCCCCAGAACGGCTCCCTCCCCCTTCTTCCTTCCCTGACTCCCTCCACACTCCCTCTGCTCCTCCGCTTTCAACCGTGCAGCAGCCGAGCTGCGATGGGACAGAGAGATGCAATCTCCAGAAGGGAAGTCTATTTCCAGTGGTGTTTACAAACCATGTCCCCTTTACCCAGCATGCAAGTCACTGCAAAGGCATCCATCACAGAGAACCACAAAGCAGAACACAAACATATTATGTCATTAAAACACATTGTCAAAACATTGTGAAATAAAAAGGGGGAAATAATGGTTTCTGTCTCTATACTCTCGTTTGTTCGTACTCCTTCGTGCACCTACTCTCTCCCCCTCTCCCTTCTTCCACCGGCCCAGGAATCGATCTCCGCAGGATCGATAAGTTGGCATGAATATTCCCTGCCTGCCGAGAGTCTAGTTGGGGAGAGACGGAGGCTGAGGCTCAGGCGCAGGCAGTGGAGGAGAGGGGAAGGATGGGGACGGAGACAGGAGAGAAATACACTCAGAGAAACGGGAAATAGTCGGCGTGGAAATTAAGCAACACACGGAAGGAACAGTGGCGCATCGCTACACAGAATGGACTGCAAAAACGGACATTTTACGCAATTAATTTTCAATGAGTCTGGACGCTCCGGTGCGCTGGGGAAAGCTTCTTTGATTCTCAAGTTTAAAGGACTGTGTTTAAGCCTTCAAAGGGAGCCGGAGGAGTGTGTGTGTGTGTAAGTGGGTGTGTGCACCGACAGCTCTCCCCTCTGCTAGTGCATCGGCACCGAGCGAGGCGGGGCGGGTCTGCATGGCTGAGTCTGACCGACATGGAGGATGTGTAGCGGGGGAGAAGAAGAGAGAAAATGTCTTACCGGAGTTGGAGCGGAGAGCCTGAGGAGACTTGAGACGCCAGGCGGCGAGGTCAGCAGCACTTCTCTGAAACACGAACGGCACCGGCAAGGGGACAAACATGATCTTCCTTCTTGTTTTGATGCAAATAATCTGACAGAAGTACCAGCTCTGTCCTCTTCTGGAGCTCTGTTGTCTTCGTCCGTTTCTCTGGTGCACAGCTTTGGGGATATTTTTGGTATGGAGAGCTCACAACATTTGCCGTTAGGTGTGTACACATGTAGCCCAGCTGCGCCCTTTTATTTACATGTGTGGATGTCGACTGGTGGCCGGCATTAGTTTTGGTGTAAATGTGCATAGAACATATGTGTAGGATGGTCCCCTTGAGTGCAGCAGTTTAGCTTCACAGTCCAGACTGACACACAGACGGATCGAGCGGAGATCACTTGTACAGGAAAAGTTGTGTTACAATTACAGGCCTATTGTAGTGGCTTTAGAATACAAGGCTGTGAGTCGTGGATGCACCTGCGTCTCTGTTACCTTTAAAACCTTCTCCTTGAGTAAACATAGCGAGCTTATTTGATCCTCTCACTCCTCACTAATGTTTCTATAGGTGTGAAAAGGCATGGGAACAGTCGCTAGCCTCCTGTAGCTCACACCGGCCGGGCTTAGCTTTGGTATTTTGCAATTTAAAAACGGCACAATAAATAATGATACATAGGCTACAAACAAGACAGTGTAAAAGGCCAGCAGAGTTAGAAAGTCTTATTTGGATTTCTGTAGTATTTGGTTTGATCTATTGTATTTGGTCTCTAGCTCCTTTCTCTTTTTGCATGAAGGCTACATAGAAGACATTCAGCCGCTGCAAAAGCAAAGCAGCAGATCGCGTCGCGAGCACATTCAAAACAGCCTCATTAAAGGCTATCATCAACAAATAAATAAACAAGTGTGGCAAAAAATGGCTAAACACACACACACACTGAAACACAACGCGCGCTTGGCCCTGACGCTCCTCCTCCCTCGCTCTCTGTCACAAGGCAGTAATTAAAACGTAATCAATCGATAGATAAATAAATAAATAAATACGAGCGGTTAATTAAATAACTAAAAATGCTAAAAATAACAACGGAAATAAGATGTATACTCCGGTTATGGTGTCGCGTTTTATCGGAACACTTGCCTATCTCCGTCCATCCGTCTGTGTGTCTGTTTGTCTGTCTGTCTGTCCCCGGTATTATTATGGGAACCCCAATATCTCATTCGACCCGGCTCCCTCCAGGATTGTAGCGATCTGGCCGCAACATTGAGTCGAGAGAGGACCCGCTACTACTCACACATCACCACCCCACCCCCGCACCTCCCTCGCTCCATCCCCCTCCCTCCCTCCCTCCCACCTACCTCCTCCCACCCCCCATCTTCCTCGTTTTCACTACCGCTGCAAAAGGTATCCTGTATTGATTTCTGGATTTTTTTCCCCCCCCTCTCTTAATAATACCGGCTATAATGATGCCAATGGTGATCAGTGCATTACTATAGCGGCCTGCCTCGGAGGGATAAGGACCAGATAAGAGAATCCATGGATACCTATAGGTGCTTAACGCTAATACCTAGTGGAGTATACCCATGCACACAATTAAGTTATCTCATCACTGCTGCTTTTAATAAGACCTCCTGAGCACCATTATGTTATTCAGATGGAGGAAGACAAGAGCGACCACTGCTGTTCTGGGAAATATGAAGCTGTGTTTATTATCTTAAACATTTGTTTAGACTGATGAATTAGATATTTTAGGGTTAGAGTAGTTTCGTTTTTAGGGTTTTTGGTCAGTGTGGGTATGTTTTTGGGTTGTAATGTCTCTGAATATTACATGAACTCTCTCAATTCTATATGTATTAATGATATGTAATGTTTATGTCAGTTCTCATAGCTTATCGAGGTGTCCTATTCACATGTCTCCATTATGACTTGTGATTGTACTTGTATCTTATTTAAAGAACTTGTGAATAAATGATGATGATGATGAAGCTGTTTGCAGCATGAAAGTACATGTTGGTGAAGTAAAACTGAGTGAGGTTAATGACCAATGTGCATGAACTTGTTATGTTTGCATGTAAATAAAAACACAAATACACAAGCTGTCAGGGGATGAGCCCCTCCATGATTGAGGTGATCACCTCCCCCCCCCCCCTGCTCCTGGATCTTGTTTCCTCCGTCCCGGGCAGCATGCCGGCCTCTCCCAGCATGCCTCTCTTCTCCTCGCCTCCTGCCCTCTCCCTCCACATGTTACACGCTGTCAATTACAGACCAGCATCCGTCAACGCCTGCCGCTTACACACCAGATTATTGTCGATATAGATTTTTAAATAGAAAAATCTATACCTTAAACATCGCAGTCAATACGAGCAAATCAATAGGAATGAGTGAGCTCTTGCTCCTGAAAGCCCCGTCCCACAGGACTGTTTATACCTCACCACTTATTGCTGCGTGTGATTAGGCCCTGTTTGAATGGAAATTGCACATAAAATAAATGATTTTGCCATCATCACCAGACTTCTCTTTTTCTCTGTCATCAACGGAAAGCCATATTGTCAAGAAATGTGTGCGGCACACCAAAGTGGCATATTCTTAATTATGAAAAATGTGTCATCCTCTGTAGTAGACAACCAGGTTTTATTGTCCTTCTCTCTCCGCTTCACGTATGACAGATGACATCCGCAGGTCCAATGAGGGAGAGGAGGGGAAAGGAGCAAGAGGAGGACAGAGAAGAGAGGAGAGAAGGAGGAGAGAGATGGAGAGTGAAGACGGGATGAGGGAGAGGAAGAAAACTAACAGAGAGCAGTAAGGTGAAGCAAATGAGGGAGAATGAGAGGAAGGGAGATGAGGAGAGAAGAGGAGAAAGAAGGAGAGGAGGGAGAAGTGACTAGTTGTCCTTCAAAGACCCCCTTCTCTCCACAGAGGGAGCCATGCGCGCCCCCTTTCCCTCCTCCCTACACTCCTTCCAGACAAAAGCAATTATTTCTTGTAGAATGTAGTGTGGTTGTGCGCGTCTGTGGAAGAGAGGGATGGAGGGAGGGTGTGTGAGATTGAAAGAGGGGAAAATAAGATGGTGTTGGAGGGGTAGAGGAGGACGGGAGGTGAGGAGCAGGAGGAGGAGGAGGGATGCTAACACCTACAGCATCCACCCCTTCGTCCTTCCACGCACTCTTCTGACCAAACTCCTATTTTTCTTACGTCTGACACGACCGCAGAGACAACATAACAGGCAAACTATAAACTCAGTATTCACACGCACAAAAACAGAAATCCACCATCAAAGCAGCTGAAATCCAGATTAATTCACAGACGATGTGTGGACGTCATTATCCAACATCTTCAAACTTTTTAAGGGAGAAACAAACTCTCTATTCACCTTTGGTTGACTGCCTTTCTCTGTGAAATACACACATTCAAACACACACACACACACTAGCGGTGATACCTGGAGATGACACCCATCTTCGGTTGTCCATCTGTCTGTTCCTACCACCGACCACCTAAATTCAGTGGACTACCCCCCTTGGTGTGTTTCATGCTTGGTGCCTATAGGGGCCCTGCAGCGAATCGGCCTCTACAGTTTCACTCCCCAGGGACCCTCGAGAGACCCATGGGCCCAAAAAGGGAGAGAAAGAGGGAGAGAAAGAGGGAGAGACAGCTCCCCTGGGGGGCCGCTCCAGCCAATAACCCCTGCTGGACGCTCTCATCGAGGGCCCTCACGGTCCTGATTGCCCACCTCCCTCCTATCAAGCCTCCCAATCCATACAGAGATAGCTGGTCCCATTGTTTTCCACGCTGTATCTTACCCCTGCTGTATTGAAAAATGCTCGTCCAAAATTGTCTCTTTCTCTCGTTCACCTCTATATTTTAAGATAGAAAAATACTGTAATGGATGTAATGTGGAATGTAATATATAGGATGCCAGCAGTAAAGTCCAGTGATTATGGATGATTATTGGTTAATGGTGCAAAATGTCAGCACAGACATATAATACAAATAAAAACTTTATTGAGTGCCTGCTGTGTATTTTATTAAGAATAGCAACACTGCTTTTACATTTGGAATTTTAGCACTTTCTACATTATGTCTTTACTGTGCTTTTCCAATTTACTATTTTAAATAAAAAGTATATCATGTTTTAATGTCACACTATTAATATATCTTCTGCAACAGTTATTAGCTACTGTTAGGTTAGGACCTATTCAAATTTGCTAATTTTTTGTTTATTTATTTGCTCAGTCTTTTGTGAATATTTAGAAAATTGTGTAAATTAACTGATATTTTATTATAATTCTTCTACCCGACAATTATCATATGAAATGTAACTGCTGAATAAAAGGTAATAAAAGATGGCAATATTTATTTGCATAGGCAGTAAAAGGGAACAATTACCAACACCTTATTTAATATCTTTTATATTACTTATATGCTGACAATTGTCTGTGTAGGTTAGATACAATTACACAGGTAGAATATTAATGTAAAGCTTCAATTTAAAAGTCAGTTTAGCCTGTTTGTAAAAAAATACATTATTTGCTGGTGATGGTTTGGTTACCTGTTTTTCCTCTCTAGTTAGAAACACATTTATTCATAGTAAGCAATTTGTTCAATTCTCCTCCACAACATGTTTTCCATGTCATGTGCTGTAGGTCAGGATGTGGTATGAAATATTTATCCAATCAGAAAGAGGCCAGAAGTATCCTTAGGCTATACATTAGTCATAGCAAGGACAATGCATTAGTCATATAGCTTAATGCACTCCTGGTAATTGCCTGTTATTGTCTTTGAATGATTGATTTGAATGGTTAAAAACACATTGTTTAAATATTGAACACAATTAATTGTTTGTAATTGATGCAGAAAAAGCTGCAGGATCGGAAGTATTATTCTGCCTCTGTGGAATGGTTGCATGGGTGTGGAAATGGTTGTTTTTTTTGTGTGTGTGCTATGTGGTGTGTGTGTGTGTGTGTGTGTGTGTGACCCGGCTCATCCGCGGGTGTTCGCATCCATGTCATGGTCGTAGTTAAATGGTGATGTCATGTTGACAAACGAGCTGGTTGAATTAAATTCTCACTCATCAATAACGCCGTCGGTCTGGAATCAATAGCAACCAACAGTTGCGTTGCTGCCTCTGTCAGCGGCCTAACAAGGCCCCATTAGAATGGACAACGCTCTCTCACTGTCTCCCCGTCCCGACTCAAACCA